GTGATTTTGGTCACCTGCTGGTCGGTTTCGGCAGAGGCTGGGGCAGAGCAGTTGGAGTGCTGCCGGGTTGGTCCTGTAGCGCTGCCCCTCGGCGCTGCGGGACCAACCCGGCATCACCCCAGCTGTTCTGCCACAGGCATCCTCAGTTCAGCCGCTGATGAAACTGACCAGCAGCGGCTGAATCGGGGATGCCTGGGGCAGAGCCAGACTATTGGAAGGGGGGAGGTTATGGGGGGTCTGGGGTGGCATCCCCCTCCCACCCTAGACCCCTCATAACCCCCCTTCTGATAGTCCATCATATCTGATAATCCAGCAACCCCTGGGTCCTAAAGGTGCCGGATTATCGGAAGTTTACTGTATAACATTAGACATCAAATATGAGTATTGCTGTGTGAATAGTAACTTTTGAATGTTCTGATCCAAGCGAGTTTAAGGTTTCACCATGAAGTGGCACTGAGCAGGAAAAAGAACATTCTACTGACTTATTTCCACATGCTGAGATAGCAATTTTTGTCATTTAAAGATAAAGCGGTTGAGATATTTGATTAGTGCAAAACATTTTACTTTTGCAAAATAGACATATTATGCCCCTCCCTCCTTAAAGAAGTACAATGAAACAGGTGACAAGTATCAGAGGGGTAACTGTGTTGGTCTTTATCTGCAAAAATTAGGGTACTTTAAAGACTAACAGATTAATTTGGGCATAAGATTTCATGGGCCTTAAAGACCCACTTCCTCAGGTGGACCAATACCTCTAGGGGGATGAGGGAAGGAAATCAGAAGATCCGCATAGACACCAGAGACTCAAGTACACTGAAAATTGCTAATATAAGCCTTTGTGGTTAAGGCTTTCACCTAGAAACATGGTCCATACCACTACTGCAGAGCATCTGCATTAATCATAATGGAGGATTGGAGACTAAATGACACACCATAGCTAAGACCCCAAAGCTGGAAAATGTTTCATGTATGCAGATGATGAACCAACTTGTAGGAGTGGGTTCCACAGGATTATTAAATACTATTTTCAATTACTTACAAAGCAAATATGTAAAAATATAAACATAGAGCTCAGCTATAGATCAATTATTCGTCATATTTGCATTTCTGCATTGTAAGTTTCTAACGGCTTTAAAAGGCATCAGAAATTACTTTATTTGCTCTGGTTTTTAGGGAGAGGGGTGGGAGGAAACTAACAGGCCCGTAAAGGGGGAACAGCCTGACTTGGAAGAGAAGGGGGTGGGAGCAAGATGATTTTTAAACAGCCAGGCAACGGGAACCAATTAATGCTTCAAAATAACGTCGCAGGAGAGAGAAAGGGGAAGGCTGCAACTTCCTGGCGGGGACGCCCTCAGCAGCCAGCCCGTGCCCGCCAAAGCCACTCACCATTCAGCCGGGTCTGCCTGTTGGCTCGCACGCGCAGGAAGGTCTGCAAAGGGGAGAAGAGCAGAGCAGTGTCTGGGCCCGGCGCCCCAGGGCGGCCCCCCGGGGACCTCCCCGCCCCGCCCC